GTTTTCAATCCACCTCAGTGTCCATTTATTTAGCCTGCACTTTTTAGCTTGTCTGAGGATGTTATGAAAGCATCAAAAGCCTTACTAAAGTCAAGATAAACAACATCCACTGCTCTCCTCCCATTCATCAACCTAGTCATCTTATTTTAGAAGGCTATCAGGTTGGTCAGGCATGATTTCCTCTCCATAAATCAGTGCTGACTATTCCCGATCACCTTCTTGTCCTTAATATGTTTGGAAATGGAATCCAGGAGGATACCATCAGCTTCCCAGGGATGGAGGTGAGGCTGACTGATCTGTAGTTCCCTGGATCCTTGCCCTTCTCAAGATAGGAGGGACAGTTGCTGTCTTCCAGTTCTCAGGAGCTTCTCTTGGTCACCATGACCTTTCAAAGATAATTGAGATTGGCCTCGCAATGACACCAGCCAGCTCCCTCAGCACTCCTGGGTGCGCCCCGTCAGGTTTGATCGACCTGTGTTTTTTCCAGTTTATTTAAATATTGATCCTCTTCCACTAAGGGTAAATTTTTCTTGCTCCAAACTTTCCCACTGGTCTTGGCAACCTGGGACTCCTGAAGGCAAATCTTACCACTAAAGACCAAGGTGAAGAAGGCATTGAGTACCTCATTGTTTTCCATGACCTTTCCAAACCCCATCCCTGCACACGCCATCTGTGTCTCTATATTCCTCCCAAAGCCTGAGAGGGATGATGGGGTCCGTACTTAGGTCCTGCCTATGGAGCCAGGCTGATGTTGTAGAACAGGCCATTGACCAAGACCAAGAACAAACCAGAGCTGAAATAGCTGGGATTGTTGGTGTCCAGAGGATCCCCCTAAATTTTTGATGAGGCTGTCTACTGTGTGGCAAAGACCTGGCCTGTTTCCTTGGTGCCCATGTTGGCTGGGGAGAAGTACTGTTCCACGTCATGGGACTAACATCTCCTCCAAGCCTTCCAACAAAGCAGAGAGGTGCAGAGGCAGTGACTGGTAAGGCACCGCTGAGTAGGAAGTGGACAGCCTGCTTCTGATGGGAGAGGTCAGAAGTCTTCTGATAAAATTATCCTGAGATTGAAACATGGTTTCAGGGCAAACCCATTCACCCAGAACTCAAAGTGGCTTAGCACCAGAAGCTTGCTTGTGTTTGCAGGCACAGCTGTAACTCTTTTCACCTGTCTGCTGCCATGGAAAGGCTAGGTCAGATTCCTAAACTCAATGCAGCTTTTGCAAAGAGGAGTGAAGCCCTGTGTAATTAAGTGCTGTAATGGGTTTCATAAAATTTTTTGCTTCTGGGGTGTCAGCAGGAGTCACGTCTCTCTCAGAAACATAACAAGAAGAATCAACTAATACTGCTAGTCAGGTATTCCCATGAGAAGAGGTATTCACTATGGAGTGCCTTGCAGTTAACAGCTATTGCAAAGCCTTAGAATGATCT